GAACATTTGTAAAGTAGTAACCAATAGCAGCACGATAATGTGCGTCACATGATTTTTGTGCCAATGATGCGCCGATCACGCTGGACTCTTTACAACACAGCTACTAGCTCTACTAGACGGCGCGACGAGATTGTTCGCTAGCAAATGTTGCGCAATGTGCGCCTCAGCAATTGTCCACCCGCACATTGCCAGACAAAAACATTTGTTCGGGAAATGTTCGGCAATGTGCGCCAGGCTTAAGCGTGTGTGCGGCGGCGTCGTGTTAAGAAGCGATCACGGAGTCGTGTTATTGGAAGCGATGTACGTGTATCGGCTTTTTCGAAACACGCGGCGACGAAACGCACATAATTATCGCAAAACAATGTTTGCGGTTCACACCCTCCCCGCGTCTCGCAATAACTGTGATCGATTCCGCCTGCAACTGCGTTCGCTGCCTGGAATCGACACCTCAGCATCTCGCTCCCGTTCTCCCACCTCCACTTCTTTGACCGTCGAGTTCCCCCCCCCTCCGCCGCTCAGACTGGAGGGTGCCACTCCGCAGCCGTTGGTGCGGAATGTGTATTGAGGATGGCAGGGAGCAATCGACGGCTTCCGGAAATAGAGCGCGTTTTACATAACAAACAACAATAATGATGGCGGCAACAAAATAAGTGCAGCGCCGCGCCGCGTGCTCTCCCGGGTAGAGCAGGAGCTTGCTGCGGAGCTATGCGCTACATGGAATGCGTCTCGCCGTTCGCTGCTGCTGCTGTTTATTCGGCTGGTGAGTCACAGATCTAGCCACAATGCAGGGAATAGAGCACGAGTGAGAGGAAGAGAGAAAACGAGAGCGAGGGTGAAAGTGAGAGATTGGAGGGAGCGAGTGAGACCGAGAGAGAGAGGGGGAGAAAGAAAGAGGGAGAGAAAAGAGAGAGAGAGAGAGCGAGAGAGAGAGAGAGAGAGAGAGAGAGAGGAGAGAAGAGAGAGAGAGAGGGAGAGAGAGAGGAGAGAGAGAGAGAGAGAGAGAGAGGAGAGAGAGAGAGAGAGAGAGAGAGAGAGAGAGAGAGAGAGAGAGGGCGAGAAGAGAGAGAGAGAAGAGATGAGAGAGAGAGAGAGAGCGAGAGAAGAGAGAGGAGAGAGAGAGAGAGAGAGAGAAGAAGAGAGAGAGAGAGAGAGAGAGAGAGAGAGAGAGAGCAGAGAGAGAGAGAAGAGAGAGAGAGAGAGGCGCAGAAGAGAGAGAGAGAGAGAGAGAGAGCAGAGAGAGAGAGAGAGAGAGAGAGAGAGGGAGAAGAGAGAGAGAGAGAGAGAGAGAGAGAGAGAGAGAGAGAGAGAGAGAGAGGAAGAGAGAGAAGGGGGCGCTCATGGTCTTTGTTACTCAAATTCTTTCGCACATGAGAGAGAACGGGGTGATCGCGAGAATGGAGTGATGGCAAAGACGTGGGGAGGCAGAAGGTTGAGGAGAACGAGATGAAGGCAATAAAGGGAGACTGGGGTGGGGCAGACAAACTGAATGTTCAGAGAAGTAAAATACGGTGCATGGAATGCCACAATTCCACCTCCCGCGCCCACCTAGATCTCAGATATATCTATACGCGGATTAAAGATAGTTATTATAACCCTATATACAACCCGGCACATTTAAAAAGTTTTCTTCATATTCACTTGAAATATGTTGATTTTAGTAAATGATTCCACGTCACAGGGTTAGCCAGAGAAAAAATCAGGGAGTCTCACCATCTGAGCGAAGCGAGGATGCTGCGGGTGTGAAGCGCCCTAGGGCGGAAGGTCTTACCTTAAGATGGCGGAAATTTAGTCTGTAATATAATGCCAAAAAGACAGGAATCTGATATGATTAAATTTTAAATTCTTATAAGCACTGTTGTCAGTTATACAAGGTGTATAATATATATAATTGGGTCGCCCTCATGCCGTCTCTATCAAATTTTATCCGTCTCATCCAAGAATAGGCCGTCCAAAGGACGGGTATACAGACGGGTCTCTGGCTAACACACTGTTCCACGTAGATATGCTGCGGCAAGCACTGATCATACAAGACAGAGCCATTGCGCGTGATTGCTAGAAAGCGTAATCCTGCATATAACCCACACGCTATAACGTTGCACAAGCAGGCATCTACTGCTGGGTAAATCTCTCGCAATATTTCGTTGTATAACGTGTTTATATGTATTTACACTTATTACCCGATTGTGAGGGCAGCATGGAATTTCATGGACTGAGAAAAACAATGTGGCCCTTGAACCGGAGAACGAGGATGATATTGAATTTTAGGGCTCTCGAGTATGTTTTTTTATCACATTCCGGGTGTTTTTATTATCTTTTCATTTTGCTGAAGATCTGATGTACCTCCCCCACCCACTCGTTCAAACCGTTCTTTCCCGCACATCGTGGCAGCCATTGTTGGCAAGTTCCCGCACCGCTTCCTATATCAAATGAAGATTTATATTCGGGCAGAATCGATGTGTAAACGTTCGAGATCTGTTGAACGGTCTCCAGTAGGCCCAGGATAATGGCGCCTTTCTAGTCTGGAAAGGGAACGTAGCTTAGCCTGAATTGTCGTTTATTTATTTATGGCCATTTTCGTATCGACCATGCTTCATTACATCTGCGAAGTGGTGGCTGTCAGCTCCATGTACACACACGCGAACGCACGCACGCACGCACGCACGCACGCACGAACATACACAAACACAAACACACACATACACATACATACGCTCACAAAAACAAGTACACGTACGCACGCACGAACATGCACAAACACAAACACACATATATATATACATACGTATACGCTCACGAAAGAACATGTACCCGTACGCACACACGCGCGCAAACATTACATTGGCGCTGCGCCGTCCTCGGTGTGGGGACAACGGCTTAGGAGCGCACTTTCTCTCTCGCAGAAATTCAAACCGGCTTATTTCCAACATAATCCGATCGCTTTACAGAACATTGTGGGAGTTGAGGACGGCTTTTTGTCTTGCTCGGCCTCGCGGGTAGGCTACACCTGATGACGATCTTGTGTGGTGTGTGTGTGTGTGTGTGTGTGTGTGTGTGTGTGTGTGTGTGTGTGTGTGTGTGTGTGTGTGTGTGTGCGCTGGGCGTGTGCCGTGTGCGTGTGCGTGTGCGTTGTGCTGTTGCGTGCGCGTGCGCGTGCGCGTGCGCGTGTGCGTGTGCGACTGTGTGTGTGTGTGTGTGTGTGTGTGTGTGTGTGTGTGCGCGCGTGTGTGTGTGTGTGTATGCGTGCATGCGTGCGTGCGTGTGTGTGTGTGCGCGCGTGTGTGTGTGCGCGCGCGTGTGCGTGTGCGTGTGTGCGCGGATAAAATGAAGCTCGAGAATACGCGGCCGTGAGCTGGTGGATACCGAGTAATTGCGCAACGCTATAGAGTCCATTGCTATAGACATATTTGGTTTCTACATAAAAAAAACTGTAGAACTGAAACTCTACACTCTGGTCCACACTAGTTGTGCACTGGCTCGGTGGGATGGGGCGCACATGCCGATACTCCTGCGTTGGCTAACGGGGTTAGTGCATGATGCTACTGGTATCGCTATTACCTGCATTTTGCGGGCGAGGATGCAGGCTCCAACAGGCTGCAGAAGGAATATTAATATATTAATAGATCTATACTGATGGCGTTCACCGTGGGAACGATATAGGGAGTGATACATGAGCAACAGTGATGTTAACAGGCTGTCGTGGTGGTTGACAATTGGGGGAAGAGCTTTGATATATCACTAACGTGAAAATGTCAGTGGTCTCTACGGCCATGTTAGGAAGACGGCGACAGATAGCTAGCATCAAACATCGTACTCTTCACTAGAAAACGTTTCAGCGTTATAGCCCGTACAGACTACGAATTTGATATGGTATTAAACTAGCGCGCGCCCGGCCCCCGCCAAATATTTCCAGTGTCTGCACGCTATCCCGCTCCAAATACGCGCTGGCCCGCTCCAAGTTGGCCTCGCAAATGAAGCAGGGCCAGACCCGGGATAACTTAGCCCGGAATAAGATAGCCCGCGTGTGTATGTCTGTACGCAACAAGCGGGCGGCCCTACCCGGTGCTAAATCGCAATACGCATGCGCATAGCCTTATTTAGGTCACTTAATTGTACGCTCGTTGTACCTGGCTGTCTGCAGTGTGACGTGCGAGCTGAGCAGAGAACTGATGACTCATTTAATGTAGGATCAAATATGCAGTCTGTACGCTACGATTTGCCCGGGCCTGACGCGCGCTAGTTTAATACCATATCAAATGTTGCAGTCTGTACGGGGTATTAGACACGCAGCGAGAGTTAGCACAACCCAACAGTTCGCGTGGTATTGAAGTTTGTAAATAAATTTCCCGAAAATGAAACCTGGAAAGCAGTAACTTGTATGTTTTGCGAACAATAAAACTGCTTTATAGACGTAGTGCTTTGTTGAAACCAGAGCAACTATTAGCCGCGCACTATAAAAAGCTAAAAAGTGCAATGTTAAAACCAAGAACCTCTTTCATCATTTCCGGCCAGTTGGTAAACCCCGCGACAAAATGATTGTGATCGATTATGATTGTTCCTGGGTGATGGATGGCTAACAATTTTTGCTTGACGCGATGAGGAAATAGCACGTGTTATTATATAGCTCTGATATGTAAGACTAAATATAGTACGGAATTCAGGAACGGGTAACTCCTCCGTTAGCTGTGGGCACATTGCGGGAGATAGCTGTTACGCTGTTCATACAACACAAAATCCCATATAGCATGACATAACTTGTGCAGAGGTGTGGAAAATGTGTTATTATTATTATTTTAACAGACGTGCTTACGTTATAACAGTTATGTGAATTAGAGTAGACACAGATACACACAAACCTGTTATAAACTGGAAGCCAATCTGTGTACATGAAAAACATGTGTACGTTGTGTTTTTGCAGGATGCTCGCGCAAGCTACGATGTTAACAACCATGATAACAACCCCATGCCGAGATACGACGAGAAAAATGAAAATAAGTAAGTTATTGTTGGTTTTTAGCTCACCTTGGTCACAATCGTCAAGATGAGCTATTAATGCCATGGGGCGTTGTCCATCGTACGTCCGTCCGTCTGTCCGTCTGTCCGTCAACATTTGGTTATGGTCAACGATAACTTGAGAACCGTCTGACCCACATGTTTCAAATTGCATACAGTTGTTACTCCTATGGGAGAGATTTGAACGTCCTATTTTGGAGCACGCCAGTTGACCTACTTTCGAGCCACGCCCATTTTTTGGCAAAAATGGAAATGGCCATAAGTCAGTTCAGGTTCAACGGATTTTGCTCATTTTTGGTATGTGAATGAATAAGGACTGTCCCCAAAACATACCACAGGGGGTTTTATATATTTTTAAAATTATGCAAATTATGTAGATTTTGGCAATTTCACTATGCATTTCAGTGTCTGCCTACGGTCAACGATAACTCAAGAACCGTTTGACCCACATGTTTCAAATTGCATGCAGTTGCTACTCCTATGGGACAGATTTGAACGTCCTATTTTGCAGCACGCCAGTTGACCTACTTTCGAGCCACGTCCACTTTTTGGCAAAAATGGAAATGGCCATAAGTCAGTTCAGGTTCAATGGATTTTGCTTATTTTTGGTATGTGAATGAATAAGGACTGGCCCCAAAACGTATCACACGGGTTTTGATATATTTTTTAAATTATGCAAATTATGTAGATTTTGGCAATTTCACTAGATGCATTTCAGTGTCTGCTTACGTTCAACAATAACTCAAGAACCGTTTGACAAACTTATTTCAAATTGCATACAGTTGTTACTCCTATGAGAGAGATTTGCAGGTCCTATTTTGGAGCACGCCAGTCGACCTACTCTCGAGCCACGCCCACTTTTTGGCAAAAATGAAAATGGCCATCTAGTTTCATTCGATTTTGTTAAATTTACCTACTTACCTACCTACCTACCTAATCATACCTACGTGTAATATTGTGTTTTAGATTATTCGTTACAGTAATTTCACTGGAATATTTTATTGCTGTTATTTGCACGATAATCGAAAACCAAAATGGCGATCATTTAGGCGTAGCGCCATCTCTCGCCCAGATTTCAGACTTTCAGATCTGAAACATTTATTTTTGCATTAAAACTAACCCTGAAACAAAAGAGTGAAATTTCTATTAGTATAAAACAGGGAATAAGGACATTTGATCACATTTTGGTCCATCATAAATGAAACACTTACCAAATTTTAAATATCATCTTCCTCTTCTATCACACCCAAGGTGAGCTATATATAGTGTCATTGACACTTTCATTATATGTAATGTCAATTAATTATTTATTTTAAGGCTATCATGTTCTTATAATACAAAACAACGAACCACAATGCTATAGTAATGTTACGTGCGTATAGTTCTGTTTGAACGTCATATTATATCAGTTATAGTTAATTTAACCCCCGCGTAAATGCCGACCGTGTTGAGCCCCCTCCCCCTGTCAGTGCGCTGCCGCTGTTAAATGAACAGCAATTAGTGAAGTCGTCGGAAAAAGAAACAGCGGAGCGCGGACACGATCAATACCCGGCGAGATAAAGGCCCTCGTGTCTCAGCTTTGATTCGGTCGCGCGCGTCGCTGGAGTGGCGAAACTCGCGCGCTGCTAAAGCGCCGGCGAAATACTCATTTTATTTTTACTAGCTGGGCTACCCGGCGATGCCCGGGGTAAATGAGAAAAGAGAATTGAGTCTGCCATGACGGCTGTACTGACCTTATTCTGATTTTATAAATCTGTGCCAAGAATTTTGACTTCTGTTCAGTTCTGCAGCGCTTCTTGGTACACAACATTGTTGGTGTTGCCATCTTGAGAGAGGATGTAGAGGTTGTCTGGGTTACCGACCCTGTAGCAACCCACACACACACCGACACCCCCATGCACCCGCACACACACACACACACACACACACACACACACACACACACACACGCGCACGCACGCACGCACGCACACGCGCACGCGCATGCACTCGATGGATGAGCAGTGAATTAGTAGGAGGGTAGGCCTATATAGCGCGACCGCGCGGACATTTATGAAAATAATAAATAATTGTAATTGTAATTTGAGATTTTTGTAGTTTTTGTATTTTTGTGATTTTGTTTGGGCCTAAAATGGTCGTCGCGTCATGCTGATTAAGAATATATATATGGTGTTGGGGGTGACCTCTTACGGGAGGAGGGTTTATGTAATTGCCTAAATTGTTTTTGGCCTGAAATGGTCGTCGCGTCATGCTGATTGAGTGCTAACGACAATCACTGAGTGCATGCGGGAAAAATAAGCGGCAAGTTGAGCATTTATACCTTTCAGCAGTAGTCGTGTACGACGCTTTTGTCTCTTCTTCGAAGCTTATAATTGTTTTAATAGTTCGACAATAGAGCTACAAAAATAGCGGTCAAAATGCAAACAACATGCAAGTGAATGGCCGCAGTGAATTAGTAGGAGGGTATATAGCGCTACCGCGCAGACATTTATGAAAATAAAAAATAATTTTAATTTTAATTTGAGATTTTTGTAGTTTTTTTATTTTTTATATTTTTTTGGTCGTCGCGTCGCCGTCGAGTCATGCTGATTCAGAATATATATGGTGTTTGGGGTGACCTCTTACGGGGGGGGGAGACAGACAGACAGACCGAAAAACAGACTCGCCCTTTATGTAAGAGATACTGAGGGAAGAGGCGCGCGCGTGAGGCATCATGGGATCGCGAGGCATTACGCGGGCGGCGTCTATTTTTTCCGTACCGCAAATGCGCAAAGGGTTCCTCTGATTGGCTGCTTTGATTTGCTCTGACGCGATAAACCTTCAAAACAAGAGATCAAACGCCCATTTGTAAATATGTGTTTTAGTTCATCATCAGGCGATTTACGTGCCTGCGTGTGTGTGCATGTGTGCGTCACTGTGCGTGTGCGCGCGTGCGCGTGTGCGCGTGTGCGTAAGTATGTACGTGCGTGTGTTCATTTATTTAAAACCCTGTAATTTAGTGAAATAGTTGCGATACTGTACGCCTTATATATAATCCTCTTTGGCGGCGTTACCTAAAATGAAGTTGTGGTTCATTAGCCACCGCGGGAAATCCGTCAACAGAATATTGCCAATCTAGTCGGTAATACGCTAGTTGTGCTCATCGTACACGCAGCTTGCTAAGCCCGTTACAGTAGACAGGCGGTCAGTCAGCTGCTATCAGTCTGGTCTGTTCACACGGGGTTTTCCTGGCCCTCCTATTTCTCTCCTGCTCCCGTTCTCTCGTTGGTCTCATTCGCTCTTCCAATATCTCTCTCTCGCGCGCGCTCTCTCTCTTTCTCTCGCACTCACTCTCCAATTCTTGCTCACTCACTCAGCCTCTCTGTCCGTCTCTGTCTCTCGCTGTCTCTTTCTCTCTCTTTCTCTCTTGCTCACTCGCACTACGGTGCATGAGCGCTCTCTCTCTCTCTCTCTCTTTCTCTCTCTCTCTCTCTCTCTCTCTCTCTCTCTCTCTCTCTCTCTCTCTCTCTCTCTCTCTCTCTCGTCGCTCATTCCCAGATAGGTATATTTTGCTAAATATCATGAGATTGGCAAGGTAGAGCCCCCCTAAGTTATGACGGCAAGCACCACGAATTGCTTTTTATGACCAATATATGTCGGGCACAATGTGCACGCACGCATGCACACCGACACACGCATATACGCGCACGGAGGACACGACGGTCCGCGCAGGCAATGTTTTGTGTTTTAATGTGCCGTCGGATCGCTTGGGTCGTTCAAACTGTAAAGTTACTGGAATGTTCACGAATCGCTGGCTAGCGAGAGATGAAACTGTGTTTCGCGCAGTGCGTCACTAGGGACGTCTGCTTGTCAGCGGATATGGGAAAGGGTAATGAAGCACTAGGAACCAGCTGTCTAGATCACTCGACCAGCTGCTCCGAAAATACACCGGCCGCGTTGTTAAGTGTTTATGGTGGGAAACGCGACTGGGGAGACAGTTAGTGGATATATTATATTCTATCGCAGTACTATTTTCTCACACGTGTAAGTACTATGCAATGTAACAGAAAGCACGTGGAATGCCGACACTTGTGCTCGTAAGCACGCATACAGACGGGCGCACACGTACACGCGCGCACGCACACACACACAAACGCGCACGCACGCACGCACGCGCGCGCGCACACACACACACACATAAATACTGTATACACACGCAAGCACGCACGCAAGCACTCATGCGCGCACAGACAGCGACTGTATTTGCGGTGTTACCCGATGCTGTCAGGGAATGGCTATCGACTTTTTTTTTATCCAGGAAGCCCAGCTTCCAATGCAATTCGTTTTTTATGGTCCAAAAAAGTCTACAAATATTCGGGAGGTGGGCGATGCACACCAGTGTGAATTGTGGACTGAAAGTTGAAACCTGATTTACGCGCCCACACGCACGCACACACACGTAGGCCAGTGTCATTCATTTGGTTTGGGAGCTACACATTGGCACGCGCCCTCTTACTGTTGCATTGTCGCTGTTGTTGAAGATGTTAAGGAGCGTCATCCTGATCATGATCATGATCTTGTTGATAATCGTGATCATCTTGGTGATCATGATCTTCATGTTCTTTATCAGATCTCCCACCTGCCTCCCCAACGATGCACGGACGGCGTGGTTCTAATTATTGCAATTAATTATATTAATTACGATTCTAACATAACAGCATCTTAAAAAGCGGACGGATTCTTTATCCAGAAATGTAAAGAGATTTTGTATTTTTCGCTCACTCCGTATTCTACATGCATGGGTGGTCGCGTCGCCGAGTGCATGTCGCGTACTAACGTAATCTAACCACCGAGTCGTTAGTAAATGCGCATGTGTGGAGATTTGAGAAGCACGTGCTTTAAGGTGTTGCTATACAGTAGACGCCGTCCATAGGCTGCAGGCCTGAATAAGCATCGAACAGATATTAATTAAAAATACTCACACTGTTACTGCACTTACAAAA